GACTTACTCAGGCTCACAGACCCCACCCACCCATCAGGCCCCGCCTCCTTCATAGACTCATCACAGATTCCGCCTGCTCTAAATGCCCCCAGGCTCACAGGTTCGGCTCCACACACTACAGGTACCACCCACTTCAAGTCCGCAGGTCCCCCCACTGGAGGAGACCTAGCGCCCACCCAGACCCCTGCGAACGCGTGCAGTGGCAAGCCCCCTGCCTCATACCCGCTCCTGCGTGCCGAATTTGCCATCAGCTACCAGGTGCACCTCGTAGGTGAAGTTCATGGTCCTCGCCAGCTTGATGAGCAGGTCGATACAGAAACCGTAACAGCACTGAGGTACCGTGTGGCGAGCTGAGGATGAGGGGCTGTAACTGCTGGGCTCCCGGCTGTCATCACCACCCCGCGTCCCAGCGCCCTCGTGACCAGCACTCACGGCTGCCCGGCGACGTGTCGTTGGGGCCTGTGCAGATCACCTTCTTAACTGGATCTCCGTTAACCGTGAACTCCTCCTTGCAAGTTCCGTCGTTCATGGTGGGCTTCACGTACACGAAAGGCTCCTGGTGGATTGTCACGATCTGGGGCGGGTGGGGGGCGGTGAAAGGGTAGCCTTCAGCCTTGACCATGACTCCGTTACCTTGTGTACAGTCAGCCTCTGGGTGTTCAGCTCCCCGCCCCCTCGCCCCGTGCCCCCTGTGTTCTGTACCCTGCAGTTCGCTGCTGACCTGGCCCCCTCTTCAGATTCCTTGCCACAGTGAATATCCCCAGCTTCCTGCTACCCTCGGGAGCCGTATCACGGGCGCTGCCCACAGTACCCTTCTTTGAGATGTCATCAGATGGTGCTCAGCTTTCTGGAGGCCATTTCTGGGATCCCAGGGCCACTTTTGGGGCTTAGACACCACTCCCTCCTAGGGGTGAGGGGGAGCTGCCATATGTCCAGTCTGTGCCCATCTTCTTTGACTTCTCAGAGAAACTTTCTGTTCCAGCCCAGAGCCATGGTCCTCGTGTGACCCAACTATGTCTTTCCTGCAGGCCCCGGCCTCTCAGACTCCCCAGACGCTCTGCAGCACTGGGCCTTTGATCATCATCTTCCTTCCTTTCCTCCCTCCCTTTTGATGTTGATCTTTCAGATCTCATGGGGGCGGGCGGGGGCGGGGAGGGGTGCTTCTTAAGTTTTGGACTCCTTGGACCCAAGATTGTGACCTCACTGTCCTCGGGTGGAGATGGGGTGGGGAGGGGAGGTGGTGTGGGAGCTGAGTGTGCAAAATGAGCAGGGACTGAGGGTTGTGAGCAGGGGCTGCGGCCAGTGGGTTGTGTTGCACAGGTGAATGGAATTCGGAAGAAAGGAAGGTGTGAATAGGGTTGAGCAGGGTCTAGGAGCAGGGCCTGGGGATCTTGGGAGAGTGATTCTGAAGGGATGGAAACAGTTGGGTTGACTTTGATCCATGGGGGAGAGGGCTCCACAGTGGAAACAAAATTTCTTCTTTCAACTTTCTGTATGTTTGTATTTGATAAGAATCAGTGTATAAAGACTATCTCTGCCTTGAGCATTGTAAAGATGTCTACATGGGATTCCATTGGAACCTTAGGGGACAGTGAGCTTATGTTAATGGGGAAGGAGCAGTTCAGAGCAGGACGGTCAGAATGGATGCCCAACTGGAAGATGCTGTCAGTGTTAGTGAATTGCATGGACAATCTGTTGAGTAGCTGGTGCACACTTGCCGTGTATGTTCTCAATCACTGCCACCATGAAATACACTAATAACAAACTGATTCCTCAGTTGCCGTAGTCACATTTCAAGAATTCCAAATCCCAGGTGGCCAGCACCAACCCACTGCTGCTAAGTTGATTTTGGATGACAGCAACCCTAGAGGGTCAGAGTAGAAGTTCCCATAGGATTTCTGGGGCCCGTATTCTTCATGGAAGCCAGTTGTCTCATTTCTCCTTCCTAGCGGCTCCACGTGAATCCCACCCCCTCACTGTTCACTTAAGCCACCACCCTACCAGAGGCCCCCCTATTGGACATCCCTGTTCCAGATCTCAGTGGGATTGAACTCAAAAGCATTGGATCCCTTCTGATATCTTAATTTGCTCAGATCATTTAAAATACATGAAGCTAACCCTATACCAGAGTCCTGGTGTGGCGCTGTGGGCTAATGCGTCAGACTGCAAAGTCGTTTGAACTGCAAAGTCAGTGGTTCAAGCTCATCAGCTGCTCCTTGGAAACCCTATACAGGGTCACTATGGGTCGGAACCGACTCAATGGCACTTAACAACAACAACATACATAGTTTAAAAATCAAATAGTCTTGAACGGTGTGCTGATTTACACAGCTGTGCTCACTTTGGACCAGTTTATCCTGGTGTGGCACTGTAGGATAAGAACTCGACTGTTAACCACAAGTTCGGTGGTTTGAACTCATCAACTGCTACTTGGAAACCCTATACAGGATTGCTATGAGTCAGAACTGACTTGATGGCACTTTAACAACAACAACAACACTTAAATAATTTATACTCATTTCTGTATGTAGGTTATACATACATGCTATATTTAAATTAAAAGTTTACCAAAAAAATCAGTGTGGGCAGAATAATAAAGTTGAAAAAAAACACTATCCACATCTGCAGCCCAGATGTGACTTCTAGCCATTACTTGCAGACTGTTCAATGTGAGGTGTCTGAGCTGCAGGGAGACACATACACCGTGTAGGTGATGGAGAAGGGTACCAGAAGGGCTGAGGGTGGTGCCCAATAGGCAGGTGCTGAGGCAGAGGCCATGGGAGCTGGCTCAGGCTGGAGGGGTAGGCCCAGAAATACAGAGGGTCAAGAGAGATTGAAGACATGGGATATCAGGGCAGGATTGTTGGGCGCGTTGCATTGAAGAACCTTGCCTTTGGTGGTGTAAGATACAGGCCTGAGGCACTTTGGATCTGCATGAGGAGGGCCTGGGGGGTTGGATGGAGTCTGAGGATGACCCTGAAGTACCCTTCATAGGAGTCTGGTTCCGGAATAAAGGTTGTGAGGAGCAAGACCAGCTAGGGAGGGAGGGGGTAGTGCAGGGAGAACAGCGTGAGTGTCACACCAGGAGGCCCTGAAGGCTGCAGAGGGGCACCGGGGGACCCTGGACAGAGAGTCCACAGTGGGTCCAGAGTGACCATCTATCTGTCTGTCCCTCCTTAGGGTCCTGTCTAATGTCTCCCTAAGGGTATTCTCGTCCCGTAGCCTGCTCTCCTGGCTTCTGCCCACCTTAATCTGCTGCCAGGTCTGACAGGCTGGGTGGGGTGTCCCGGGTGAGAGTGGGGGCCCACCTTTAACCTGGTCGACATCTGGTACCCTCGAGGCTTCTCCGTCTCTCCCCCTGGCCAGATGATTTTCCTGTCGTTGGGGATAACCTGGGGGTGGGAGTATGAGATGGAGGGTGGCCACGCAGGGGTCTTGGCCCCAGGACCCTAAGGCCCCAGCCCCCACCCCCTCATGACCCCCACCTACATGGGTGCCATTGTAGATGCCCACTTGCACCAGCTTTCGGTTCTGCAGGTTCATGATACTGTAGTTGGCAAACTTCCGGTCCCCATCCTCATTGAATTCCACGCGGCCAGTCACCCCTTCTGCATACTTTGAAGACATCAGCACCCTGCGGTGAGGGAGGTGGTCAGGGACCATAAGACTTCCAATCCTCCTGCATGGAGCTTCCCTCATGTGGGGAGTGATGGAAAGGGCCATGGTCTGCACATGCGCCCGACAGGCAGGCCAGGGACCCTGGGCCCCAGAGCCTGTATCCAGAGCTTTCTATGGTCAGGATCTTCTAGCCTTAACGCAGCTACCTCAGTTTAGGGAGGAGGAGGCAGAAGTCCACAAGCTCATGTGTGTGTGTGTGTGCCATGCTGGTGAGCTGTGTGTGCAGTGAAGCCTGGTGGGAGGTCTAGTGTCTCTGCTCGCTTACCTGTGTGCCCTGTGCACACCTGTGTCCATATAGCGCCTCCACCTGCACTGTGTGGGCACCCCAGGGTGGGTTGGGGACTTTTGGGCAGACTAGAGTCGTGGGTGCTAGGTGGCCCTTACTCCTAGCAGGGGGGCCCCGGCTCTATGGCTCAGTGCAGCTTCTGAGTCCTTGCTCATCTTGGGGGCCCTGAAAACTCTAGGCCCCACCTCCAGACAGAGCCTCCCCAATGGGCTGCAGCCTAGATGGGGGTGGGTGGCCTCAGGTGGTCTGCTACGAGGCTTTGGTTTGTGACAGTGCAGGTGTTGGTGTCAAACTTGGGCCATCACAGTGGACACGCAGATGGGCGACGGGAGGGGTAGGAGGACAGAGATGGAGGAGAAGGAAGTGGGAAGGTGAAGGGGGATGGGGAAGGGGCGGGGAAGGGTGGACCCCTGGGGTATGGGAGGAGGTGGAGAGGAGAGAGGTGGTGAAGGTGAGGGAGATGCAGAGGACCGAGGACGGAGGACACAGTCTGTGGACTTTGAAGGTGAGTTTGACCGGCTGCCAAGCCTGCCCCCTGGAAGACGTGGCCTCACCCACCTCTTGAAGAGCGGCCCGGTTTTCCAGATGTTGGTGTTGCCCACGCAGCCCCGCGGCGGGTCGGTGATATTCTCTTTCTCCAGGAGCTCGTGCACGGCCTGCGCCACCACGCCCACGGCGTCGCTGATGTGCGCGGACTCGTTCTTGCCGCTGATGAGCTGCAGTCCAATGATACCTGCGGGACAGCGGCAGCTTAGAGGCCGGTCCACTCCGGCGGTCCCGACAGCCCCCCACAGCCCGGGACTCACCATCCGGAGCATAGCGCAGGGCATTGCCCGAGATCTCACGCTCGCCCACCAGCCACACGTACCCGGAGCCCGTCATGTTGAGCATCGCTGCCGCGCGGTACACGGTGGCAGCATCGTCCTCGCTGTGGGGCAGACAGGGGTGACGAGCCAGGACTCCAGCCCTCCCCACCCGCGCGGGCCTTCGTCCCCCGGGGTCCTCCTTTTCTGTGGCGCAACCAAGTCCCTAAGTGCCTGGCCCCGGAGACTCCACTGAGGTCCAGCCAATACCCCCCCGAGTTGTTTGGACCCAGACATCTCACAGAACTAACGCGGCCAGCACTCCCGGCCCTGGTACCTGGGCCATTTACTAACCTGGACCTGAGATGCCAGGTATGGGGCCAGCCTCCCTGCTCTAGCCTCCCAGGCTTCTCTTGCTGTCTGTCACCTTGCCCTTGGGCTGGAACCTGGTCTATTAGGAAGGCCTATGCTATACGTGTGGGGGGGAGGGGTGCGGCAAGGTGACCTGAGGGGGGTGTTATATTGATCACTCACTTACCACCACAATCTAAATACTTCACCTTAACTCTAGTGCCCTCCCTGTGCTGGTACAGAGAGACATTCAGAGGCAGACCTGAGCTGGAAAGCCCACCCCATCTCCCTCAGGGTCTCCAGGTCCAAAGTGTGAAATGAGGGGTGGGACTCCCCAGAATGCAGAGATATTGGCAGAGCCAGTGCCCGAAAGTGCCCTGAGCAGAAGCCCCCCAAAGATGGGGAGGGGTGGCTTGCCATCTGGAACAGCTGCACAGCCTCTGCCCCCCACGCTGGGACTCCACAAGGACCTGAGAGGTCTCTTTTTCTCCTCCCAGGCACTCAGAGTGTCCTCGTGGGTGAGCCCAGGTAGGCGATGAAGCAGGGGACCAGTCCTCTGGGCCTGGGATCTCTCTGGTCACAACAAGAGTCTGTGAGATGCCACCGCGGGTCCTGGCCCTCCTGGACTCCTTCCTGCAAGACCCTCCCCTGTAGGGTCTGCTCTGGGTCATGCTGTGCACTTGGCTTCTTCAATGCATAGGCAGTGGGCACAAGATATCGGGCTGCGGCCCCAAGACCAGGGCTATTTTTACGATAACAACTGACCTTGGAAACTAAGGGGCCCTTGGCTCCCTGAGAGTCTGTTCCCCATTTCTTTCTTTTCTCAAGGACTAGAGGAGCTCTGGTAGCGTAGTGGTTACGAATCGGGCTGCGAACCTTAAGGTCAGCGGTTCGAAACTACCAGCCGCTCCGCGGGAGAAAGAT